TGAATCGAATAGTTATGTTGTGGAACCGTGTCCACCTTGCAAGGTGGACACAGTTCTATGTTCATAATTACTGAACTATATGCTCATAATTATAAAGTTAAATATTCATAATCTTTGAACTTCATATTCATAATTATTGAACTCTATATTCATAATTACAGAACTCTATGTTCATACTTACTGAACTATATGTTCATAATTATAAAGATATATATTCATAATTTTTGAACTTCATATTCACAATTATTGAATCTCTATAATCATAATTACATAACTATATGTTCATAATTACGTTCACAACACTATGTTCATAATTATAGAACTATATATATTCATAATTATGAACAATTTTAGAACCATGTCTAGCTTGCAAGGTGGACACGATTTCACAGCATAATTTGTCGGGTCAATAACACGGTGTCGATAAACGAATAAAATAAATGAATATTCAAAATAATGTAAAATCATTAAATCATTCAATTTAAACAAAAGAAAAAATTTTAAATATCATACATATTATTACCCATTATGCTATAATGTTATTACCTAATTAATATTTGTTCTACACGGTATTACCAATAGAATATTTAATTAATTGTCTGCAAAAGTTTGAGCGGAAAAAATAAAATAGGAGGATATATATATATATATATATATATATATATATATATATATATATATATATATAAGTTATTATTTTTATAATTAGGTATAATATTATTAAATTGAAATTATTTAAAATATATAAATCAATATTAAAAAAATCTAATTAATTTTGAATATTAAAACTATATATTTATATTAAAGGTGAAATTATAAATAATTAAGTTTCAATAAGTTTAGTTATTTCTTAACTTTATATTTTATAAAATATATAACCGAGATTAATATTTTTTCTATATACTAAGTTAGTTTGGAAGAATTTTTCATTTTTTGTCAATTATTAATAGTTATTTCTTTTTTTTTTTTTTTTTTTTTCATTTTTGAAAATATTAATAGTCATTTCTTATTTCAATTGGCCTAAATTTCTTGTCATTTTTATTCTTAGTCAATTATTCCTTTTTAATACATATTAATTAATTAGTTAATTATTAATAATAGCTTTTTTATATTTCCACTAACTTTACATTTTATAAAAAATATAATCGAGATTAATATTTCTTTCTATCTCAGCTAAACGCTAAGATGCAAACTTCATTTTACATATTTATTAATATATTATACCAGTAATTTTTATATTTTTAGTAATTTATTAATATTCAAGTATTTATATTCATTTCATTTTTCAATTATCCTAATTTCAATGAAAATTTTTATATTTTCAGTAATTTATTAATATTCAATCATTAATATTCATTTCATTTTTATTTTTTTAATCAAGTATTAATATTCATTTCATTTTTTACATTTGAGTCAATTTTGAAGCATTTTTAATTTTCAGTCAATTATTAATAGTCATTTCTTATTTCAATTGGCGTAAATTCCGTGCCGTTTTTATTCTCAGTTAATAATTATTTTTTAAATACCATAATTTCACCTATGAACATGGTGTTGATAAACGAATAAAACAAATGAATATTCAAAGTAATGTAAAACCATTAAATCTTTCAATTTATACAAAAGACAGAAATTTAAAATTTTAAATATAAAATCTATATGCTTATTCGTGCAGTTGACTGAATATGCTTATTACCAATTAATTATATTACCAATTATATTATAAACTATCATACATATTATTACTCATATTAGCCGGAAAATTGGCCGTTGCCAAGCAAAGGCCAAAGGCCAAATAAATATAACTTCAGAGGCGGTCACTCTGAAACGCCTTTTTTTTTTTTTTGTTTTTTGTTTTTTTTTTTTTTTTTTTTTTTTTAATTTTCTGACATGTTTCTTTGAATTGTAGGAGGAAAATGTGGTGAAGATTTTGTTTTCCCATTTGTTAAAGTCTATCCCAAGGGGATTTTACTATTTTAAAATATGGTGAAGATCTCCTTATTTGGGATGCCCTTACATGGCTGCCACATTAGCTAAGAAACACATCAATAAGTAAAAATAAACACCATTTCAACTAATAACATGTGTCATGCCATCATAGTAACTTGAGAACTGGTAAAAAATGCTAGACGAACAAAAATTAATGGTAAGTGGCTCAATATGTACGATTTGAAAGTTCAGGGTGCGAAATGAATAATCAAATATAGTTCATGGTGTGGAATGACACTTTAACCTAGTTTTTATAATAAATTAATTTTATTTATTTTACATTATATTTATTTTATGTTTTATTTTATATTTTGCAATAATATAATAATTATTTGAATAATTAAGTTTAAATGTTATTTTTGGGCCTTTAGGAATATACATATTGATATCATTATTAATAAGAGTTGTGCTAGGTAGATTAAAGTGAGCTCTTTATGTTTCTTATTTAGTTTGACCCAACCAATTATGTTATTTGTTATTTTATTTTTAAGCCCAAATTCTATACACTTAATTTGCCTTTTTCTTTTTCTGTGAATTGTGTGACGCAAAATAAAGGTCCAGAGAGCAGCTTCACTTCAGACGGCTTCTACAAATTACATCCATGATTTGCAGCGTCGGGATCGACTGCTGCGACGTCCGCAACTCCGTCGGCTACTGCAGTGAAATTTTTTGCGTTCGTCGTCCGTGATTTGCAGCCACGTCCGTCCGCGAACAGTTCCTATGAACAGGCGAAATCAAATTGAGGCAGAGGTTGGAACAACAATAGCTACTATGTTAATTTTCTCTGGTTAGAGCAATAAATATAATTTATTTTTAATATTTTGTGTGGTTTGAGAGATTAATTTAATTTGTAAATGTAAATGTTAGGAAGGTTAGGGTTATTTTTGAGCTGATTATGGAGCCTGAAATAGTATGTATAGGGCTGATTTTTCAGTAGAGGATAGTCAGTTTTTGTAGAACAATTTTATTTACTATGTAAACACTCTCTGCAATGTACTGCTGAGTCACTGCTGGAAATTATGAAATTTCCAACCACCTGAAAGTGATCTTAAATCAAGTTGAAAGCCTTGTTCCGACCACTTTTGGTATCCGGAAAAACCTTTGTTGCTATTTTCGACCACTTTTTGTTTTCAAATTGATTTAAGATCACTTTCAGGTTGTCGGGAATTTCATAATTTCCAGCAGTGAGTATTGATTTTTCAATTCAAAGATTATTGAAGTTTGATTCTACAAGACCAGTGAGATTTATTTATCTTAATTCTATTCTTTGCACTTTATTATTTATATATCTTCTTTTATATGAGTTTCAATTATTGCTTGATTAATTATTGCAATTAACTGGCTCATTGTTCAATTGTCAAGTCATTAAGTTGCTAATTAGAACCTTGAATCCGGAATTGTTTAAGTGTTCTAAAATTGGTAGAAAATAGCACAATTTGATTATATATGGATTTTCAATTTTGTGTTATGAAGATATATAGTCTAGTTTAAATGAACCATGCTTTTGAGTTTGTTGGCTAGAATTGGTAATCTTTCTAATTCTTTTAATGCTGTTAGTAAATTAAATCATAAGAGTCTGTTTAGGATTGTTTATTAGCTAGGGAAGTAATCAAAGAGCTTGTTTTGATTATCGATAAAGTAAGGAAAGATATGTTATTAGAGCTTGTTAATAACCATAACCAATTTGGTAAAGAGTAAAGTAATTTTGTCTTGAAAATCAATTATCTGTTTTGTTAGAATTAAATTGATATCATGCCTTGAGTTGGATAGCTAGTTGCTATTGATTATTATTATTATTATTATTTGATATTTGATATTATTTGTCAACTTATTGTTGCTATTTAAGTTCCAATTTTCATCCCATTCTTGTTTAAGTCTTTTGTTAAAATAAGTCTAACCAATCTCTGTGGGTACGACCTTACTCATCATTATTACAATTAATAAGAGTAAGTACTTTATTATTTGTTGGATTCGACACCCACCAAATTTTTGGCGCCGTTGCCGAGGATTGGTGTCAAATAGATTTATTTTTTATGTCGCGATCTTCCCGTACAGGTCAGTTGCAATACGATCCTGAGATTGAGAAAACTGCAAAGAGGTTGAGGAAGGAGACTAAAGTGCGCAAGAATCAAGCCCTTTCATCAACATCGCTTAAATCAAATATCACAACTGAATCAACGGCCTCTTGGTACGATCACGAAGTATAACAAGAAATGGTCGAGGAACAAAGGACCTTAAGGCAACTTTCTGCACCAAATGTGAATCAACAACCCCTTTGTATTCAACATCCTACCTTAGAAGTTGGCCTTGAATTAAGGTCAGGTTTAATTCAATTACTTCCGACCTTTCGTGGCCTCGAGAATGAAGATCCTCACAAGCATCTGAAAGAGTTCCACGTGGTGTGTTCAAGCTTGAAACGGCAAGGAGTGATGGAGGAGCAGATTAAATTGCGCGCTTTCCCATTCTCACTAGCTGATAGAGCAAAGGACTGGTTATTTTACCTTCCTTCAGGCTCAATAACCACATGGAATGAAATGGTAAGATTGTTTCTTGAAAAGTTTTTTTCCAGCATCACGAGCCGCCAATATTAGAAGATAAATATGTGGCATCAAGCAAAGAGACATAGAGACTCTCCATGAGTACTGGGAACGCTTTAAGCAACTGTGTGCAAGTTGCACCCAACATGGAGTTTCTGAACAACTCCTTATTCAATACTTCTATGAAGGATTGCTTCCCATGGAGATAAAGATGATGGATGCAGCTAGTGGATGTGTTATAGTGAATAAAACTCCCCAAGAAGCTAGAGAGTTAATATCAATAGTGGCGGCCAATTCAATTCACAACAATTTGGATGCAGACAGGACACGTCTTCTAGAAGAGTGAATGAGGTAAACATTTCTTCCATTGAGAATAAACTATCTCATTTAACTACTCTTGTTCAACAGTTAGCTGTAGGAAGTATGCAGTAAGTAAAAGCTTGTGGGATATGTGCTGCTACTGGACACCAAACTGACATGTGCCCAACACTTCAATACGATTCTTGTGAGCAAGCTAATGCAATTGGAGGGTTTCCGGGCCAACCACAAAGAAATTGTGATCCCTATTCAAATTCATATAACCCAGGATGGAGGGATCATCCAAAATTCAGCTACAAGCCGCGTCCACAATTTCCACAGTTTCAACCTAGACAACCCATTCAACAACAACCTTCATCTTCACAACAGTCATCATCTAATTCAGGTATGTCATTAGAAGATATTATTAAATCACTTGCTACTAACACACAACAATTTCAGCAAGAAACAAGAACAAGTATTCAACACTTGGAAAGTCAAATGAGCCAGCTAGCATCTACTGTGAGTAGATTGGAGTCTCAAGGTAAATTACCCTCGCAAACTGTTATAAATCCAAAGCAAAATGCTAGTGCATTTATCTTGAGAAGTGGAAAAGAGCTGCAAGAACCTACTCAAGTGAGAAACAGGCACAACCGAGATGAAGAAAATGAAAAAGAAGTCCATCCACCCCAAAATGATCAAAAGCTTGTCAAAGAACATCCGGGGGCTGTGGTAATTCCTCCCCCTTTTCCTAGTAGATTGGCAAAATCAAAAAAGGATGAAGAACAAAAAGAAATACTTGACGCATTTCGAAAGGTTGAGGTAAATATTCCTTTACTTGATGCTATTAAACAAATTTCTCGATATGCTAAATTTCTTAAAGAGTTTTGCACAAATAAAAGAAAATTGAAAGGCAATGAAATGGTAAGCATGGGGGAAAATGTTTCAACTGTTTTACAAAAGAAGTTGCCGCCTAAATGCAAAGATCCTGGTATGTTTACTATCCCTTGCAAAATTGGAAATGTTAATGTTGAAAGAGCAATGTTAGATTTAAGAGCTTCAATTAATGTGATGCCTTTATCTATTTATTCATCCTCGAATATTGGTTCCTTAAAAGAAACTGGTGTAATTGTTCAACTTTTCATAACATAATCATAATAGCACACGCAACGCTATATCATAAGCACACGCAGTGAAATATCATCAGCACACGCAGTGCAATATACCGTCAATCATTTTGAGCACGCAGCTCATTTCTGCCAATCTCCTTACATTCATCATACATAGACATCAACATAACATTCAAGGCTCAACAATAGCCTATTCAAGGATAATCAAGGGCAAATTACAACATATGTACAAGCATACGACGATAAGGGAAACCAAGATAATCATAAGACTCATAAGAAACATCATAGACTTTACTTTAATCCAACAACTTGCAAAGTTGGACCACAAACATCATTCAAGACTCGCAAATCCTATTACGGTACTTAGGACATCGTTCTAGATTTACGGGACATCAATGAAGACATTCACGTACACGGGGATTGACCAACAGTGGCCAACAAATCACCGCACGTCACGTACCAGCGGGTGGTATGGCGGGTGGATGACTACCCGCTAGCCCCCCGCCGGACTTGTCCCACATCCCAGCGGGTGGACGACCACCCGCGGGCCCCCCGCCGGTACAATAGCCTGAGGCGAGTTTTCTCACTTTGGAAATTTACAAAGAATACACAATTTCAAGTCCAAACGCATCAAAACTCACATCAACAATAATAGGGACTTGAATACATGGAATAACTCAAAGAATAGTATTAACAAACCCTAAATACAAGCTCTATCAAGCCACAATCACGAGATAATGCATTCAATCATTCAATGATACCAATAAATCATAATATAGCAAAGTAAATAGGTTTTGTAAGACATGGGTTACCTCCTTAGCCTATTCAAACCTCTCACAATTCCTAAGATCCTTCTTGACGGTCCTCTTCCAAGTGATCTTCGTTAAACCAACAAAAACCCACCAAACAAAAGGAAAAACTTAGATAGAATCTATAACACAATGGCATAGAACCATAAACTTCTATTACTTACCTTTCTTAAGCTTGGTGATGGGGAAAGGTCCAAACTTGGTAGCCTTCAATGGTGGAAAAGATGAAGAATTCTTTGGTTAGGTTTGGAGAGGGAAATTTCGGATGAGAGGTAGGGATGTAGGGCTGAGTTTGATTTTCGTTTCTGTTAAGTGTAGGAGTAGGGATTTTAGGTTATAACTTGGGTAACAAGGCATAAAACTGATTTGATCACAAGTGGACCCTTTTTATTTTATTTAAAAAGGCTCAAAGGCTTTATTTTAGATAAAAGGTATTGGGTCCAAAATTAATAAATCAAGGTCCAACCCATTGACCATATTAACTAATTAAGGGATTTGGATCATACTTTATTCCCTTAGCTATGTTAATGGAAATCGTTAGAATAATGATGAGTGATAAGTGCTGAAATGTGTCACTTTTATGGGTTATTTGAGAGTCATATTTTGCTTAATTAGAGTCCTTTAGGCCTATTATGTTTTTAGACTATCTTAATTTGATTAAAGTTAGGCACAAGGACTAGTTTTGATTACATTTGATGTAAATAGCAAAATACTGACAATTTTAGCTCATTTTGGTGACAGTTTGGAAGAAACTTTATATCTGGATCTATGAGTGTCCGATCGAGATGATTCAGGTGGCCATGGATCGGCATCGGAAAGCTCTACAATTTTCGTGAAGATGACAAAGGCTAATTCAGACGTCTAGGTAGTCAAAATCAGCGATGAACGCGTCATAATTCCTCATGATGCTTTTAGGATCATTAGTCTAGATCTTGATATCACGAAAGTAGAATTGTGCGAAGACGTGCTAAGTCCTTTCACCTTTCCATATACTAGGATTCCTCTAGGCTTAGAACACTTGTCGGGTGTCTATGTACCTAAGAGTCATTTCTTCGAACACTTGGCCTACACTTCATCCCTAGTTGCATCCTCCCGGATATTGAACTAGGAAATGCCAAAGAAATGAAGCACCAAGCAATCTAGCAATTCCAACTCAATGCTTAGATTGCTTGCTTAGATTTACTCATAGAGTTGGCCGGACTCCAAAGAAACACACTAAGCATTCTGTTGGTTTTACAACCTTTGGTAGCTGTTCGGGGGGCTAACACTACCGTAAAATACTTAGGGTGTTTTGTGAGTGAAAGTCTTAGTGTAGCTGGGAGAATAATGCGATATTATTTCTCTAGAGTTTCAGCCGTTCGACCCTTTACACAGTGATCCCATGGGGATATTTATACAAGGGTACAAGATTCCTACAAGGAAAGTAGGGCTGACGTGGAGCCAAATCAGTTAAGGAATCCGGCTTCCTTGATTCCATAAATGCCTAAGTTAATAAAGGAAACTGCTTGTATTAAATGAAGAAAGAAATCTCTGCGAAATCTGCTTGTAACCGCCTCTGGGTGAGCATCCAGCCGGGAACGCCCTGACTGCCTAGGATATGGCTCAAGGATGGGCCGTGATACTCGGGTGAGGACACGCCGCCCACGGAGCCTGGTCGGCCAGCCGAATCCCAAAAGGGTATCCGGTCGGGGACACGCCGACTACCCAGGTGGGTCGTCCAACCGAGTCTCATGTGCGAACCCAACTGAGGACAGACCGGCTACTGAACCTGGTCGCTTTACCTGAGCCGACCAACCTCCGTCTAGGTATGCGTCTATCTTCATGGACGAGTGGTTTCTAAGGATGACCGACTATGATCTCCAAACGTCTTGTATGACAGACGGGAATCGCGGATGTCGTCTAACTTGCTAAGTATCAGGCCATGCTCGAACCGACTACCTTGACTCACACTACCGACCGGGTGTCCGATTCGGGGGTATCTATCACATTCAATGGCAACACAATTAAGAATCAATAAGAATATCATATCATACAATCACAATATCAAGACCTAATTAGGAAATGTATCTCACTTTAGCATCATGATTAGAGATTCACAATCCTAATCCTATTTAGACCTAACCACACATAGCTAATTGGATGAACGACATTGTAAATCAAAGGAAGAGATAACAATCAAGATATGAAATAGGAATTGAAATTCAAAAGCAATAAATTGTACCACTTGATGTCTTCTCCTACAATGATCCTCAAGCTATGAGAGTAGAATTGGTCTCCAAAATCTAGAGAGAGAAACTACAAGCTCTAACCTAATGTGCTTTCTAAGAATGAAATCTCCAAAATGATTTCTCTCCCCCACTAGGCTTACGCCCAATGGTTCAAGTAGTCCGGATTTGTAACACCCCCGATTTTACCAAAATTTAAAAGCTTAAACAAGAGACATAAAGCTAAACATTAATCATTAAACAACGGAAGCAACGTCTAAACACGGAGGTGCTATGCCACACCTATATCAAACATAGGTGCACATGCAAACTACTAAACAAACCACAACAGCTAACGGTTAAACTAACTAGGCTCACAGGCCATAAACAACTAGAAAAGCATAAGGAGCTACACTAGGCTACTACGGTCCACTAGCGCGCTCTCCAAAGCTACTCAAACCTGTAAAGAGATAGGGATAACACCCATCAGCGAAAGATGCTGGTAACCCACCAATACGCGTTAAGTATCATAATATATAGATATAAGAAAAACCATTTGAGACAGAGGAATACAATATATATCATTTTAAAACCAAGAGAGGGAACACCAATAAGCTCATCAACACTCTCAACAAAGACCAAAGACAACCATACTCAGCAAGGCAATAGAACAACAAACGACATACTCAACAATAGATACTACCTACCATACTCAAGGTAGGGTTAATCATAGACATGCTCATAATCAATAAAGCGAGGTTCATACTCATAACATGTTCCAAGCCCACATAGGACATAGTCAAACCGAAGCATACCTCAAAGAGTCATCCTCAACGACCCGAATCATAGTGAACCAGTGTGGAGGACTCCAAATCATCAATCACATACCATAGAGTCATCACAATGACTAGGACCGCAGCTCAATAGAAACAGATCTAGCAACTTTAAGTGTATACACCCCCTATTGAGATTCCAAGCTCAACGAGTTAGTTACTATCTCTGGCAACGGGGATAAGTTTCCCAAGTTGCCCACAAGCCATAAGTATCCAAATGGTAATCCGGAGCTTTAAACCCACTACCGGATCAATTCACACATAAGTCCCCACACTGTCCACTTTACTTATTCAATAATCTCATCACATCCATTCCAACATCTCAACAAGAGTCAATACACACGGAATCTAGAGATACAACAAAGCATAGATTCCACACAAGGTGTGTACAACAACGGATAAGCTCAACAATAGCTTAATCACAGAATGATCAATAAAGTACCACATTTGTACAAGATCACATCAAGTGATTCAATCAAGAGGTTTCAATGAAAGACATGAAACGAATACTCAACGACAACAATGAACTTCAATCCAATACCAACATGATTGGCAACCCAAGTTGCCAATCCTCAAAAGGAATGGACAAACAACACATACTAGCATCAAAGACAACATAAATAGCATGCTCATCAAACGAGTATACCAAAATGGTTCCAACGAACCTCAAAGACTCACACAAATCTAACAAACCAAAAAGTTGGACCATAAGCACGATTCAAGACACCGAATTCTAACATAGATACTTAGGACATCGTTCTAGACATATGAAACATCAAGGAGACACCCAAAAGCTCACCAATCCAACAAAAGGAAGCCAAAACATCAAATACCAAAGGAAGAAACCACGGGGAAACAACCGCCTGTGCTATCCCGGAGATGTACCCTGAGGGTGGGACCTCCACCCGTGGCACCCCCCGTGGTTCCGCCCGGGGTGGAACATCCACCCATGGCACCCCCCGTGGTTCCGCCCGCGGGGAACATCTGAACCCCAAATAATTCCCTTCGGGAAATTTCATCTTCAAGGTCAAGTTCAAGTCCAAAACACCCCAAATTGGAGGACTATTGGAGGACTATTGTGGCATACTTGGAGGCACATGTGCCGAGGCGTGTTGTTAGGACGGCCAGGTGGTCTCCTCCTGCTGCCGGTGCGTTAAAGATTAATCTACCTTTGTC